TAGAGTAATTCAAATGAATGCTGTAAATAGAGGTGTAATTACTGTTTGGTGTCCATCCGTGCATTCTCTTCCAATTCAGGGTTGGAGCCTGTCCAGCTACCATAGGGCAAGAGGCGGGGCGCACCCTGGACAGGACAGGGCTAATACATAGAGACTGACAACCATTCATACTCACACCTATGGGCAATTTAGAATCACCATTTAATCGAACCTTTTCTGTCTGCCAGTGTGTCATGCAGTTTTCAAGATTAAAGACCTTTGCAAATGTGATGGCCAAACCCGTGGCCACTCTCTAAAGTCGGTAACTCTTGTATTTTCGTTTCTTCATTTGAACACAGTAACACACTTTAGTTTCCAATAACTTTATTGACTGGTTTGGATACATTTGTTCTATTTGTAAGCGCGCACATTTAGTTTACTTATGTATTCATACCACTTCATTTCTTTGATTTTTGACTGACTGACTTTTGACTTTGTCTTTTTATTTCTTACCTGCCATCATCCCTGGGAGTTGCTGGACAAAAAATGGTAGCCTGGGTTTGAAACAATTAAATGCAAAGAGGAATAATTGGACCACACCACCACTTCCTGCTGAAGGGGAGAATGTGTGTTTTCTTTTTTTAAAAAACAAAGTATTTGTATTTAACTAAATATTTGAGTTTAGGGTTTAATGGGTTTTGATTTTCGTCTTTGGTGTTTAGTTTATTAACAACCTAGATTGTACTGCATCGTTTTGTGATTTAAGATTGTGTTTTGTTTGTTAGCCCCTCATGTGTCACAATGGTCTGATCAGCCATTATATATATATGTATACCCTTGTATGTCATTTCATGTTTAGGTCAATTATGTTTGTTTGGGCAGTCATTTGGTTCGTTAAGTTTGCAGTCTTTGCCTGAGTTCAGTTTTGTTTCTTTGACCTCTTTTATGAGCTCAACATTTATGACTTTTGTAAATATAATTTTTGGGGGTTAAATAAATGAAAACTATATTTTTCTAATAATTCCTGGGACTCCTCCTGTTTTTCAACTCGGTCCATCACAGCAAAGAAAAAAAAGTTGCCTGCTCCAGCTCCTGGAAATGCATATAACCTTCTTATCAATATTATCTTCAGATAGCAATTAATCATTTTAATTTTTAATAAAAAGCCTTCTGCCTGGTTTTATACCTTTGTCTTTCTGTAACATAGACCGCAAACCGACATTATCCCCACAACTCCACCAATCAGCTCGTCTCAATCTGGAGTTGACCTGCATACATCCTGTTCAGTCTGTCAGTTCTTTCGCACTTACTGCTGTTGAGGAAACACTCCCAGGTTACCTGGTGATAGTCACAGTTTAGCGTGGGCAGCCGGATGCTCAATATAAGATAAAATCATTACCTTATAATTACGTTAATGTGCTTTGTTTCCTTAGCTCAGACCTGCTGGAGATTGTGTTCACCCTCAGAGGGACATATCTGAATGAAAACTGATAAACGGGTTTTAAAAGGAGGGAGCGATGGACACTGAGCATCATATCAGTCAGTGTAGAAACAGGCCGTAAGTTTCAGGACCAGGGGTAATTATTTGCTTGTCATCACTTTTGATCTGACTCAGGGGTGCTGGCTTAACGTCTCTTCTGGATACATCTCTCCTTTACATGTAGGTCACGGAT